GAGCCTTCTCCATCTGATCCGAATGGGCCAGTTACCCAGCTGGTTATTTATTTTTGATGTGTGTTCTGACTTCTACCTGAAAGTTGAAACATTTAAAAGTCTAGTGGATGAGTTATTAATTACTGTCGTTTATGATTGTTAACATGCTGCAGGCAGTGCTACCAAGCGATCTGGAGCAGGGTTGGAGTTGTTTTCTGCAAGGTGTGTTCCATGTGGCTTATTGATTGGGTAATGTAGTGGTTTTCTGTGACACCCTTTTTTTTTTTTTTTTTTTTTTTTTTTAAATGAAGCTAAACAGGTTATGGCCTTAGAGTGGACAAGTTGTGAGCAGTTCCTCGAACAAGTGGTTTGTCCTTCTCAGATTTGTCTTATTTGAAGAATTTTAGATAAAGTATTCACTACACCACAAGCAAAATCAACCAATTAGGGACTGTATGAAAGTTATTAGAAAGGGGAGGGGGTTCAGAAAAGGGGGAGGGTATGTAGGTAATTTTTGATAGTAGATCAGGAAACCCAGTTACTCCTACAGTGGTACAGTCCCTTAGAGAAAAGGCAACAATTTATTTTAACCCCCTAATTTAGCGTTTATAAGCAGTGTATACCAATTAATGGTTTTCGACACATTATAGTGTGGTTGTTAACAGATATAAGGACTTTTAAAACATTATTTACACAAGTCTTTGTTAACAACTAGCTTACATATAAGCATTCATCACTGGTCTATAAACAGTGAGTGAGTGCTTGACTTATTCCTATACTGTTTATAAATGTTAAATAAAGTGTTAACATAAAGAAGAACATTTTGTAAACATTTTTTCTTATACTTTTAATTATCTTGGGACCCATTGGGAGGTCCCAACCCATAGGTTGGATCCACTGGGTTAATGTGATAAACTTGTGTCCTGTTATTAGAAAAACATGTTCATGTAAGATTCTCAAAGTGACTCATTTTGTGTATATGGTATCTTCTATGTTTGAATTGACTGCTTTATATTGTGTGGCTGGACTTTTCACCACTGTATTGCTTTATTACAGAATTTACAGTTGAAATTTTGTGCTCAATAGTAATGTGTGGCATCTGGCGTTTTCTCTGCTGTGTTAGATATTTTTTTATTACTATTGTAATATTAATATTTATAGCATGCTTATAGTTTAATTTGGACGCTTGTGTTGGACTGAAACATTTATAGTTAATTGGGTGCTTAGCCTGCAGATTTCACAGTATGCAAAAGATGTGTCTATAGATAATTCATCATTCAATTTCATTAGTCAGTTTGTGTGTCCTGATTCTGTTGAATTATTATTCACACCCTTATGGGCTGCTGTTTTATACACATTGTCAAGGGTCTTGGGAGATCTTGCAAGTCTTGTATCCTGGTGTGCCCCATGTGTTTGATGCTCTGAAAGGAGCTGATGATCTGTTTTCTAACCAATTAGAGATGGAGCGCAGGGTCATTGATCTTCCCGTAAATGTGACATTACTTCCTGAGGATCACCAGGCCTAACTGTGTTTAAAGAGCCAAATTGCTGTTTGGCCAGAACGCTGCCAAATTAGATAATATCTCACAGGTTATTCCCTGCAGTGTTTCTCCACATACACTTCTCAGCAGTGACCCACAACCGCTGGTGGAAAATTGTCTTAGTGGTTTAAAATCTTTATAAAAGCTCAGTATCAAGGTTATTGGTCAAACTTAGATTGAGGTCATTTAGATCATTCATCTGTCAATAGCTTTTCTTAATCTCCTTGCAAAATATGAAGTGAAACACCTCTGAGGTTTAGGTTTGATTTTTTCATTCTGTGGCATTGAATTTCAGTCTCAGTTGGCAAGGTCACACTGCAAAACAGATTACATCTTGTCTGAGAAGCACACAGCCTGGAGTTGGATGGAGGGACACACACCAAGATGAGGGATCGCACACCACCTGATATTTTCAATCATTAACATGCTGTTAATGTTAATTAACGTGTGTGTGTGTGTGTGTGTGTGTTAATAATGCTGTTAACATGATGTTCCTGATGATCCTGAGCTGAGAACATTTTTTTTACATTGTTTTTGTTTTTTGTTTCAAAGCATTACAACTTTTTGTTACTTTCTAAATCAGAAGTATTATCTGAGGTGGAGGATAAAAAAAATCTTAAATGTTGTAATTTTCTTTTGAAACACTATGGGAATGGGAGTTGTAATTCAGGAAGTTGTACTTAGTTTTCATTAACCCTGGAGCTAAACTTGTATTGGCTGTTGCCGGGATCACTCTGACATTTCAGTCTTGGACTGCCTTCGTGCTGCACAAGCCCAGTCAGATGGGGGCCGACAGAATCAAACATGTTTTGAAAAATCTTGTCGGGCTTCGACTGTAAATGAGTCGGCAGTTGGGCCAAAATCTCCAGTCTTGAATGAGTTCACACTACAGAGAAATCTGCATCAACCATCAGGCCTTTGAGTGCCTCACACAGCCACGCTAGTCTGAACAGATGCCCTGGCCTGTAATTTGGCCTCAATAGTATTTATATATTGCCAAATCATAACAGAAGCTATCTCAGGGCACATTTTATATAGAGCAGGTCTAGACTGTACTCTTTATAATAATATTTAGCCAACTGTTCCCACCATGAGCAAGCACTTGGCAACAGTGGCAAGGTAAAACTATCTTTTAGCAGGCAGAAACCTCAAGCAGAACCAGACTCTGGTTCTTGAAGCACAGCTCCACACAGAATTAATTGGAAAACATTTAAAAGTTTACTGTGTTTTGACCTGGGATTACTGTTGTTTTATGATGATAGACCTTTAGCTATGTGATTACCATGATATAAAGTTTCTTCAGGGAAATGTTAAAACTTTAAATCCACAAAGGCTGTCCCTGTCCTGTTTTAATGTGAAGAGAGAGACAAACACATGCTGTAAAAATGCACATTCATAGTCTTTAAAACTTTCAAATTCAGTTAAAACCATCCCACCCAGCACATAAAAAAATATATGCAGGAGTGAGGGAGCAACGACAGCTTGTGGCTACGTAGTGTGAGACAAGAAGGGTCAGGGGACACGGGGGGAGCCTGATTTACCACCGCCGAGTGCAGAATGGACAGCAACATAGAACTAGTAGTGAGAGCTAACCAACCATGAGCCACTTCTGTCAGACCTCCTTCTCTCTGCCGGAAAGACAGGGAGTCTGGTGGATAACAATATACTTAATAGACCCAGGACTGTTACCTGTTCCGTCATGGTTAGCAAGTGGCCACAGAATTTGGCTGAACCAAACTTTAGAATCCAAGCAGATACATACAAGCTACCTTTGAGCAGAAAAAGTCTCGTGTCTGTGGGTTTCTGTGTGTGTTTTTGCATACAATAAGAATTTTGTTGGGAAATTCGCCTGTATTAACATCATATGCAACAATAATCTATGTGACGCTGTGTACAGTGGGGAAAAAAATGTAGTGTGTAATTCCTCTTTAAGAGGGAAATTCATTAAACGATGATAGCAAGTTATGGGAAGTAATGGGGTAGGACAAGAAGCTCTTGTTCATTTGTAAAAAAAACACCCATTCACTTTACAAAAGGAAAGCTGAATGACAGAAAAATTTGTATTTGCTGTCAGGAGGTTTCTTTGTGGTGCAGATTCTACTGTATGCACAGTTTTTAAATGCAGATCTTAGTCCTTACAAGTTTACCCATCTCATTAGGCAGACAATAAATCTTGCTGCAGTATAAAATATAAAAATACACTGCTTTACCATTTCCCTAAGCACTTAAGTAAACACATGGCCTGAATATGGGCATTGCAAGTTGCTTAAACATATACAGGAGTGTTTCTTTGCTTATAATGTTTCAATTTCACAGTGAGCTCAGGGAGTATTTTTACAAATACTCCCAAGGTAACTGTTGCTAATTGAGATTAATTGTTAAATAGTTTCACAATGAGCTTATGGAGTATTTACAGTAGTCTATGTTGCATCATAGATGTATGCTTGAGGTCCCCTCTGACTATGTAATGTGGACATTTAGACACTGATTTTAGATCAGTTTTGCCTGGTTTATATAGGCATTTAGCTGGCTTGTTTTATTTATCTTAATCCTCAGTTAATATTGTAGTAAGGCCTTTTTGACATTTTGCTTTCAGACTAAACAATTGGCCCTAACAAGCTGCTGTTTGCATGCTGTATGCACACTAGGTGATAAGGCACCAACTGCAGTGAATGACTGACAGGGTGCATCAGTTTCTTCTATTACAAAAAACACGCACAAACCCTTTATAATGACAAATGGGCATACAATAGCTGGAGCTCGCCATATGATCAAATAAATTCAGTCTGATCACCTAACCACTCAGCTGAATTTAGTCATTATTAAGCTTCTTTATGTATTACATCAGATGTTGTTGTTGAGTTTAAATCTAAAGCGAAGGCTAATGTAAGATAGTCGATATCTTTGTTATGCTTGTGTCTCGTTGGCTTTCGGTTGTTTTTGTTTTCTTGTGCTGCAGTACTTTCCACACCACAAAAAACACTTCCAGGTTTGTCTAGTTTATAGTCAAAAGTCAATGATACTTACTTTTTTCATAATACACCTTCTACCACTCTGATCAGCAATCCTGTTCTCATTAGTAAGCATGGCCAAACCTGCCTGCTGATCTTAGGACCCTTTCACACCTACCTCGTTTGGTAAGGACTTTTCAGTTTGATCTGAACCAAAATTACATGTGTGAAATCTCCTCCGGACCACAGTCTGGACCAAACAGCCTAAATTTGGTCAGACGAAAAAAAGGTAGTCTCGTTCCCGATCATTTACAGGAAGTTCCCGTGGTTCCTGTGTAAACCGGAAATAACCAAGATAAGAAGATGTAGCAGAACAAAATGAGCCGAAAAATTAAAATGTTGTTCTATTTCTATGCACTGACAAATGCATTTAAATAATTATAAATTGCCAGTGACAGCTCATCCTTTGAAACGGACTGCCATTATGGAAACAAATTACCATTCACCTCTTTGGTTTCTCCCCAAACAGAGGTGCAGAAGAATCGCTTGCAGTCTTCTCCTGCTTTCCTGTCTACGGCAACGATATAATGTTTACACAACGAGGACATTCATTTGGCGAATTTGAACTAGCCCTGAGATAAGTGAGTGGTGCAGGTAGTAATTCCATAACAATAACAATACTTGTCAAAGATATGCATCTGATCATTCTTGTCAAGGCCAAAGAGTATTGTCAAAACTACCCACTGAATTGACAACACGCTGACATCAGACGCACGTCCATTTGGAAACCAATCAATGTCAGATATAGGGAGACGCAGAAGATGACGACGACGCAAGTATGTCATGTAAAGTTCCTCAGTGCGCTCTCATAATTGCAGTGTAAAACCAAGCCAAAACTAAGCGACTGTATCACAACATGAACTTTGGTCTGGACCTTGCTGTGGACTTTCAGGTGCGAAAGGGCCCTTAATGTCTTCTGTGTGATTATAAAAAACAACAATTTGTAAGTAACTTGAACTGCTGAATAGGTAACTGTTGATTGTGAACATTGTAATCACATGGTGAAACTAGGAGAAGTTTCAGTTTTGACAACTTTGTCGGTCTCTTATCTCTAGGCCCCGTGAAGAAGCATGTGATGACTCACGCAAGGCAGAAGGGTTTCCTCAGGCAGAGCGACAGTAGTGCTGAGTGGTGGGACAACTCCCCCCTTTGGCCACATGGTGGCATTATGGGTGGCGCCTGGCCTGAGCGCTCACTACGATTCGGAAGGACAAAGAAGATACGTGAGATCATCAAACAAAGGAAAGGCATGACCAAGAGGATGAATGAGAAGAGAGAGAGGACAGAAAAATCTGATCAGAACAGAAAACTCGACCGGAGGCGTGACAAGAAACGGGACAGGAAGTTGTATCCTTTGCGGGGTAGGACTGGGGTTTCAGATGGGGAGGGGCTCAGCTGCCATGTCCTGCTTACCCGATTGGAGGAAAGCCTCCGTGAAAAGGAGAAATCTGCAGAAAGGGAGCAAAAGGATAAACGGCGACATTCATCTCTCAAAGCCAAACCCAAAAAAGGGAAAAGCAGTGAAAGAAAGCAGACAAAGTCATTACCAAAAACCAAATCAAAGTCAAACAGCCCAAGTCATGACGAGAGTATTCATGTCCCACAACCTCGCAAGCGTAGGCTGGCCTCTCTAAATGCTGAGGCAGTGAACAGTCTACTACTTGAAAGAGCTACTGACCTTCAGCCGGCAGCCAAGCAGGCCAGGAGACAGGAAGAGCCTGCAAATGGAGAGATATCCCTGGATGCAGATCCAGCCAGGAGTGGTGTCCCTGGAGGTCTGAAGGCTTCACGAAGAAACCTCAGTAAAGCTGCCATGTCTCACAAACTTCAACTGTGCCAAAGCTCTAAGAAGGTCAAGAAGGCCAAAGCTAACCGACAAGAGCGCGGGTGGGTGAGTCAGGAGAGTCTGGATGCCCCGACCCCAAGAAGATTGGCTGGACTCAACGCTGCAGCCCTGCTGAAGTTAACCAGCTCCTCTGCTACCAGTAAACCAAGAGTAAAGGTTACACCGACAGCTACCGTCACATCAGACTGCATGGCTCCTGCTGCGGTCTCAACCCCAAAACAGCACTCCAGAGTCAAATTCAAACACAAGGGGTACTCACAAAAGCGGAAGGGAAAAAATGACCCTCCCCTGCATAGTTGCAGCACAGCCTGCAAGAAGAAGGCAGACTTTGAGCCCAAAGTGGAGTGGGAGGCCGGCAGCTGCACCCATCGACTGACCAAACCAGGCTACCAGTCACGCAGCATGCTAGCGTACCCACTAAAGCAAGTGAAGGAAGAGCAGCTGGAGACTGAGCTGAGCCCATACTACTGCTGTCCCCCAGAGGGCTCAGTGGAATACTGCCACCGCTTGGCCTTCTTCCTGGGCCAGCAGCCCTATGGAGAATCAGAGGATCAGCCACTTAACTCATCCATGACCCCTGTGAAGCACGAGTGCCTCGTAACCTCACCGTCTTTGACGCATTCCCACTCGCACACAGCTCTGACCCTCAGTCCCCACCCCTGCCTCTGCACCGCAGACCACTGCTTCTCCAGCTACTACGTTCACATTGCCCACCCAACACACACTGGAAAAACGTCAGCAAGCCTAGCCCCGCAACCTCTGAACTTTGCCCCCTCTAGTTTATGCCCTAATCGGATGACTGGCTCCAAGCTGCTGGGACCACGGTTGTCCCACCCCGCCTACTGCAACTCGGTGGCTTCGCCCTGTTACGGTGACGCCTGTGGGATCGGGGGCTACACGTACAGAGCCATGCCTCCTGTCACCAGCAGGGGTTGTTCTTTCAGCACAGGATGCACTGGATGCACACACAGCATCAAAACAGGTGAGTTTAAAATATAGATAGTGGATTACTGATTTATTTCACTTGATTTGAAATCCAGACAGTTACTGAAGTAAGTAAATGAAGTGAATAGCCAATATCACATTCTATTGTAACTATTACTGTTACTGTCTGAACAACCATATTTAGCATTTTCAGTAAGATCTGCAGCAGATTGAGTTCACTTCTTTGATTGATTCATCTTAAGCCCTCTTTGTATAACTGTTATTTTGAAAGCAACCATTATCCCAATGTTATACTTGGTTATTGCTTATAGAACTGAAGAGTCCTTTGTTGTTAAATGTGTGCCTCAAGCTAGATGTGTGGGCCAACATTTCTGTTTTTTGTTGAAAGTGTTACTTTCATCCTTCACTTTTCCAGAGGGTTACTCCTCCCCTCAGGGTGACCACAGCCCCTCCCTTCTGGTTCCCCCCTCCTTGCCCATGTCCAGCTGCCCTCTGTCCAACGTGCCCACTTCCACCCAGACTAAACCGCACCTGCTGACCCCCCTGTCGGGACGAGACCAGCCCCCGGCCAGGTTAAAGCTGGCCAGGGAATGCCCACAGAGCACCAAGCCCTCCATCGGCTCCCTGTCCATGGGCCGCACACGGCTGCCACAGAAACAGCCGCCGCCCTTGCCAAGCCTCAGCAGCACCAAACAAAAGAGAGTCAGCCGCAGACGTGCCACCAACGGTTGGCGGCCTGTTGGAATGCCCACAGAGAGGGAGGTCTTTATTGCGGTAGGTTTTTGTGAGTGCGTCTCCATGTAGTGAAGATGAGCAAAAGATTTGAGAGATCCCTTTCTAGTTGTCTCTCCAGTGAGGCTCGTTCTCTCATATTCTACTACCTGATAATACCCTGCTAGTAAAAACCTTAGCATCCTCACAGATGCCTGGCAGAGAGGGAAAAAAAAGTCAGCCCATGGGGGGAGGGATAATTGTATTTTGACCACACAGCTTCGTGTGACAGATTCCTTTTTTCCTTTTAATGAGAATTATATGTGTCCTTGTCTGTGTGTATGCGTGTATGTGTCTGTCTCAGGGAGAGGATGAGACGGCCCTGCGGCAGTGTTATGAAGGAGTCGAGAGAGACGGTGAAGTGATACATGTCAGAGACACTGTGCTGCTACGATCGGGCCCCAGGAAAAAATCCCTCCCATATGTTGCCAAGATATCAGCGCTGTGGGAGGACCCCAAAACAGGTAAAGGAGACGAGGAGGGGGAGATCATGGATAGATATGTTGGATTGTGTGCATGGATGGATAGATGGATGAAGAAACATATGGCCAAGATTGTTCACACGTGTGTGTGTGTGTGTGTGTGTGTGTGTCAATTTGCCTCCTCAGGAGAACTGATGATGAGTCTTTTCTGGTACTACCGGCCTGAGCACACCCAGGGAGGCCGAGATCCCAGCACACACTGTGAGGTGAGGCACAAATGGATTGGAGCAATGATTTAATGTTTCCCCGTGGTAAATGACAGTTTTGCAGGAAAACAGGAAAGAGCACATTGAAAAACTGTGTGTGTCTCCCTATTAAATGATTGTGTCATGTGGATATTTGTACTATTAATGGATGTGTACAGAGTTTACTGAAGGTTATTTTTATTTTATTCTAGCAGTTAAAAAAGAAAAGTCCAAAAGTATTGCTTTTTTTTAATGTCATTTTTTTCATTTTATATTGACCTTTTTGGGTCTCCATAGGTTTTTTTATCAAAAATATTGGGATTTCAAATTTTAACCTGATGCAGCCAACATAGTGACATTAGCTGTACAGTATTTCCAGGCGCTGGTAGTCCCACCATACTGAACACAACAGGCAAATAGAGACACACTGTAATAATTCAAATGAACTGTGTCACATTCAGGGCCCGACTAAAGAATGGAGGATTTTCACTTCCTTTACATTAATATGTGATGACATTTATTGTTTGTGCTGCCAATATAATGTTTTTGAAACAATTTAAAGTTACCAAGTGAAATTTTTTGTAACAGACAAAAAGAAAATACATTAAAATCTTTACTTTAACTGCTAAGGTAAAGACAAATACTGTCTTTGAAGTGTTGTCATTTGCCTCACATATTTATTGGTGCACTAAAATAGAAATTTTGTGTTCATTACAAGTGATAATGCATAATGAGGTGTCCTGAAGAAAATAATGTGCAAGGAGGAGGTGAACAAAACTTTCTCCCTATGCACAAATTCTGAGACAGTTACTGCTGCCTGAGACATCATTATCTTTCTCTCAGCAGGCCTGAAACGGTTGATGGTTGGTTAACTCTTTAGCAAAACCACAATGCCATAATGATGATATCTCTGCTACCTCAGCCTTGCACAGAGAACAGGAGAAAAGAGCAATTTCACTGTTAGAAAGTGAACACAGTGGAACACTACTCATGTTTCTATTCACAATGTATGTCTACAGCACGTGTTGAGTAGAGCACGGTTCTTTTTTTTGTGCGGTGCACAAAAGGTAGAAACACAGAGGCACAATCCTATTGCACACGAACAATTACTGTGCTCTTAGTTGAAAAACGTTGTCATTTCTTCAGCGTTCAGCCAGCAAAATAGGAGACACTTGTGTCGATGTGACATTGTACACCCACTGTGGTTTCAGAATGAGATTTTCGCCTCTCGGCATCAGGATGAAAATAGTGTGGCCTGCATAGAAGACAGATGCTATGTTCTCCCACTAGCCCAGTACTGTAGGTAAGTACACACACACAGACACAAAAGCGCTGCATCAGTTTGGAGTGCAGTTTCTTGTTAATTTCAAACACAGGTACAGTAGTATAAAGATACATTTGATTTTGCTTGATTTGTCTACAGATAGTAATAGTATACTAAGAGTGTTACTGTTGCCCCCCCCCCCCCCGCCCCATGTCTGTGTGTGTGTGTGTGTGTGTGTGTGTGTGTGTGTATCTGGGTAGATTTTGTGCCTTGGTGAAGCGGCGTGCTGAAGGCGCCCCACCTGGCAGTGCCAGCATGGTGCCCTGCCGCCCCGACTTCGCCCCCCCTTCCCACCGCTGTGTGCCCACAGACGTCGACCCCGAGCTGGTGTATCTCTGCCGGCACGTCTACGACTTCCGCTATGGACGCATCCTGAAGAACCTGCAGTAGAGGGTAGAAGGGGTGTCGCACCCATGAATTAATCACAACATAGCTCGTCCTCCTGTACAGAGGTGGGGAGTGCTGAAGGACTGAACACCCCTGTCTTTTCTGCTGGGGACTCTCATGATCAGAGGGAAGGGGGAGGGGCCTGTTTTGGAGAGGGACAGAAGTGTTTGAGACACATTATGAAGCACAGATCCCTTTAGTTGACTAAAGGGGGGTTACAACGTGATCGATGAATCCATCTCAGTCAGAGCACCAATGTTTTCTGGTTTGGAAGAGCGATGAAGACAGAATTCATTCATCAGCTTGGATTTTTTAGCTTCCACAACACTCTGAGGTTACATGGATTCTTGTGTGCCCCCCCACCCCCACCGCCAGGAATGCCAAACATCAGGCTGAACTGGGCTACTGTCAAGACCGCGTTTCCCCCAAAGCATCTTAGCACAACAATCATGTTTGTTCCATTTGTAAGCCAGTGGCTCAGGAATGGTCCGGCGCTAAGGTGCTTCCGGGGAACACAAGGCTGCACTGTCAGCTCAATGTTAACGCTGTTCAACCAGCCAGGGTGAAGGAGCAGCTAATGGAGAGTGTCGTCTTATTTCTCCTGATTTGAGTTTGTCTCAGTAGTGTGTTTGTGCGTGTGTGTTTGTGTTGTGTGAAACTCAGAGTGTTGTTAGTGTGGATAAATGGATAAATGTGGGTATGTGTGATGGTTTTTTAGCAGGCATTCAGGCAATCAAACCAAACAAGCAGCTTTAGAGGAAGCGGAGCTCTCTCTCCCAGTCCTCTCTCCTGTGTGCCACAGCGCACTGACACTGACAGATACATTTTCATCTCACGCGATGCTCTGTGCAAACTAAAATACTGTACCTAAAGGGGGTTTGTGAGACCGATCTTTCCTTAACAAACTCCACTCTAGAGCAGGGCCCTTTCACTTCAAGTCAGGACACTAAAAGTGGCTCTAAACTGATTTTATTAGATGATTTAACAAAAGACAAAAGCCCCAGTGGATTTTCAAACTAACTTCCATCTTTTCAAGCCACAGTCCTGGCTTGAAGAAGCCTTGTTTTAGAGAGGCTTTTTTCTAAGGGTCCAATAGGGAGATCCCTTACTGAGGAGCTGAGACGCTTCTATCAAGACCATCGTTAATTGTTTATTTGTTTGTTTTTCCTTACATTTTCCCTGTGACTTGCCTTATGACTTGCAGGTAGAGCTTTAGGCAGCTAGTCTCACCACATACAACTATGTGGTAGAACAGGTGTACTGTAGTCCCAAGAAAAAGGATTTTGTTGCCTGATTGACTGACTGGAGTGACTGACAGCTATGACATGATCACTGGACAAAATGCACTGGTTTAGGGCTGCCACCAATGACTATTTTCATTATCGATTAATCGTTTAGCTAGTAACGTGACAAAATAGTTAGAAATGTCCCATTTCATTTACTCACAGTGACTGATTTTTTATCCTGTTTTGTTTAACCAATAGTCTAGACTATCTACTATCTTGTATGACAAAGACAAAAATTTGAGAAGCTAGAACCATGAAATGTTTGACTTAAAGCATTATACGATTATCAAAATAGTTTCAGTCGATCGACTAATCAGTGAATTGACTCATTGTTGCAGCTCTACACTGGTTAGAAACACGGTGCACTTTTCATGTCATCGATCTGCTGTGCTATAGCTGCTCGCGTTGCGTGCCAAAACGTCGCAATGTCCCGGAAAATGTCTATTCTGCCCGTTTCAGCTCTACATCCACACCAAGTTTTTCTTCCTCCCCCTCCTCCCCCTGAAGATAAACCAAAGGATGTCACACAAGCCAGAGCCCCCGTCCCCTCCCTCGCACTTCTTCTCCTTGTCAGCACTTCTGCCCTTGTTCCCTTATTATATTGCACTAATTCATTCCTTAATTACAACAAACGTGTTCAACTCTTTTTTTTTTTTTTGTTCCAGCTACTAATATCTTACCGGAGGGAACATACTGTGTATCATTTGTGTGTGTTTTTTGTAGAGAAGGAAACAGTAAGGATGTCATGGCTGCTTTTGTCAGTGCAAACTGTATATTTTTATTGTTTGACCGTTAGAGGACTCGGCCAGCCTGTTCGTCATGTTACCTGATGCACAGCCTGTTGAATCCCATGGATATATATATATATATATATATATTACTAGTCATTCCATTTGATTTATCAATCAGCTCTGACATACTTATATAAATATACAGTATATATATATATATATGTATGTATGCACACTGTTAATGTGGTTAGATGGAGGCTGGACAAACGTAGCACCATGTTAGACATGTATTTGGATTGAAGGGGGGGTTGTGGGTGGGAATGCATGGGAGGGTGTTTGATACTTAATTGAGTTGTGGTTGATTTCAGACCGCACTCATTCATTGCCTTTTAACCTGCAAGTGTTATACTGTCACTCAGAAAAATGAGTAGTGTCTGAGTGTGTGTACCTTTTTAAAAAAACATAAAGAGTACCCGATTGCTTTCCTAAACAGCACACGCCCTGTTCTTCAGCATTGGATAAGCCGTAAAAGTTTTCAACACTATAAAGCCATCTTTAACTTTTTCTCTATTTGAGCAGCATGACTCTTAACCCAAAACAAAGTCAAATCCTGATCATTGGGTTTTTTATTTCTATTAATACCCAGATTCTTCAAAGAGATAATATATATTCTCCTACTTTACAATTTCTCCTTATTAAGAATATTTTATTATGTCGATTTCCTAAGATGGCATATGCAATATATTTTTAGACTTACTATTTTTGGAAAATGAACTTAACAAATCAAGAAAAGAATATGCATTATCTTTTTTTTTTTCAAATTAGTTTGAAGTCATCACAGCATTAATTGAGATTTGACCAAATGAAAGAAAGAGGAGAATGAAGGGATTTGATGCCGTCATATGATCTAAGGTTGTAGATAATGGGCAGTGAGAAACTCCCTTCCAGGCAATTTCTAATGAAGTGTACATATCTGAACCCAGGAAGCACCGGGCACTCTTTAAACAAGCAGACAGCCAATGCACATTGTAGTATTTTTGCAAGATCTGTGATAATTATATTTAAAGTAAGAAAAAAAAATATTTAAATGGATTAAATGATACAATATATTAAGATTTCAATTTAACTTATTTGGAAATACTGTGTCTAATTGATTAACTATATCTTGTTTCTGTGTGCTCCAGGATGGAAATGAGTTCTGTTTATTTGTCATTTATAAGTTTAGAAATTAAATGATTGAGTGGCGGTTGTTGACAGAAATGCTAATGTTGTTTAGTTTCTATCGTTTAGTTGTGAAGGGGTGGAGATCAGACCAAAGCACACCCTGGCAGACGCAAAAGCAGAAGTGGCCGCGAATCACAGACACAGATTTGATCAGATTTCCCTTTTGAGATACTTGAAAAGTCAGATCTGACCTGTGGGAAGAGACGACTTCAAGCTCTCCCTGCCTAACCTGACCGACCTTAAGTGTGACGTTTGGGAGAATGCCTTGGCAACATGGTCACCTGAGCTTTTATTGATTCGTCCTATTAGGGGAGAGACGGAGACAGTGCGTCTGAGACAGGACAGGACGTCATCTGGGCTCCAGGTAGAAGATCCCCCTCAGGCTCTGATTTAAGATCAGTTTGCCTTCTCTAAATTCAGCCAAATATTATAGCGGGTTTTCAGTAATTGTCAGCAAATTAGATTATTAAATATTGAGGTGCTCAAGTCTATCAGCACCAAAAGAGCTAGTGCCTGGGACTGGCTCACTCATTCAGTGGCTGTTATAATATGCCTAACTGTTGAAAAAAATATTTGGAAAAATGGTTGTATTTTCCCTATTATGTTATGTTTGCCATAAATTTCATTTTGAGATATTGAGGGTGAGGATATTGCAGTTTTTTTATAAGTGAAGGGGGTGTCCAAAGAAAATATGAATATTGCTGTGTAGGGCCTTTTTAGAAAATAATAATAATGTCAAATTTTGCCCACCTCCCCACCCCAATCATTTTGATACAGTCCCTTATTCAAGTCATTAAAAATACAAGGTTTTCATGAGGGCTGAGAGGAAATTATTGAGTAGATCAAACTGAGGATTTGCTTAACAGCCTAACCCTCCAAACATGGAATTGGCTGACCACCGTTGCCTTTCTCCCAGATGGGCATTGACCGCGTTTGTCCCCTAGAGGGCAGGAATCCTATATGTGCGCAACAGTCTCATGGCCACATCCCAAACTGTTAAACAGCTTCCTCTGCTTGTCCTCTTTCCTTACAGCCTTGTGTTTTGGCTTTTGAGAATGAAAAGGAGACCGGAGACAGGAGAAGCAGCCATGATTCACCCTCCCAAGTGCTGGCCAGCCCTGCAACGAGCATCGACTAGATTGTTATGTTGTTATATATGTGACTCAATTTCCCTAGCAGCTTTGCATGGACATAGTTGCATCCTTCGTCACCATGACAACAAGACAGGGCCAGCACTCGGGAGATGTCAATTTCTGTGTAAGTAGGACGTTCACAGTGGCAAGGGTCAAACACCGAATGACTGATGCCACACAGGACGTGTGCTCACTCCATGAGTCAAAAAACAAAAGGACCCAACCAACTCATGAGATTCTGCTTTCTGTGTGGTCTGTATTGATGCTTATTGTCAACATATATTTTGATATATTTGGAGAAAATGGGGGATATACAGTTAAAAGTCTAGATATTTTTGGAGTAGGCCTAGAGAAGCAACATGTGTATCAGATTATTGTCACTTTGTCATGCTATCTGAAAATCTCTTGGATTTTTTGAAGAATTATATAACATCCCAACTGATTTAATGTTCCATTGAAAGAATATTTATAAATTTTAAGTCCTTTGTGAAAAATCTGTGTGTGGCTCTTTATTTGTTACAACTCCAGTGTATGTACAAACCTGCAGGAGTGTTTTTTTTCTTTTCCGTATGACATTGTACTGTGGAAAAGGGAAGTTGTTCTTGCTCCATGTGATCAATAGGAAGTCTGTGCAGCTAATTCCCTGCACTAAGAAACTGTTATGCTGTGCAAGCTCCACAGGAGGTCAGTAATGAGCCAACATTTACAGGTCAGGGTCACGCCTTCTTTGACCTTTTCTTTTAGGGACCAAATGGCATCCAGTACATGGTCATCTGTTCAGTTTAACACAACAGGAGACAGGTTTCAACCTTCTCCTGTCCCTCTCCCATGTTTTCCTTTCTCTACATGTCCTCTGTCAACAGAATCTGTATCTGTCTTTGGCCCTTCTCCGTGTTGAGGCCTCAGTCAGTTTATTAAAATAATAATTTTTGGCCTTCAGTCCATACATTTTGTAAGTATGAAATAACTTCATAAAGCCTTTTTTTTAGCTTTTTTTAAAATGCTTGAAAAGGAAACCTAAAGCTTTCATTTAGGTCAGTTTTTCATTACGTTGTGTACTCTGCCCTTGAATAAACAAATATTTCTATGGAAAAAGAATTTCTATTTAGGTTTTTATCTAGTGAGGCGCTTTTTCATCAAGACCACATGTACTGCTAAACACTAGTCTTTTAATGGCTTACTTTGTACTTTTTACCCCAAATACTTTTAAATGCACCCAACTCACTTCAAAATGTGTACTGAAGTGTACTGTAGTTGTCATTTTGGGAAAGTCAGCAATACATACACAGAAACACAAACACAATGTGACAATCTCTCTATATACATCTACACAAAGATAAACACAGAAATGCATATAGACATAACAGGAAGTATGACTGAGAAATGTGAATAGAAGGGAATGAAGAGAAAAACATGAGATCGACAGGAACAGAAAGATGAATCCCTGCTTCTACTTTTTATTAAATCGTAAAATGTCCCATTTACATTTGATCACTTGTCTATGGCCAACAATGCTTTACCATCTCTCATTAGGATTTTTTCCCCCTGAAACACCAGGAAAAGAAATGTGGTGCAAAGCAATTTTTTTGTGGAACTTCCGCTATGTGGTATGAAAGCTTTGATAGATCAGCAAAGAGGAGCATCTGCTAGAGAAAGAATCAATCCAGTGAATGCAAAATAGACAGAAAGCCAGCTTACACTGGGGGAGACCCCCCACACAATCGCCTAACTGGCTTTTCATCTACTCCTGTTGTCTTTCTCTGTTTGTCTAATTACCACGTCCGGCTTATTGTCCTCTTGATTACTGTAATTAATCAAGTTCTGCTCCCTAATCTCTGAATCTCATCATCCTTACTGTACACCAGGGCTGGCCACACCGGATGGTAGTGTGATGTAAGCTCTTTTTGGGAGTATAATTGTGTGCTTGTCTGCAACTTTGCGTGCAACAGCAAATTGCATGGTCCCACCCTGCTGTGTTTTTTTTTTCTTTGTCAGGAGTGTGTGTTTTCTCAGTGCACAGGTCAGTAATTGTTACTCATCGTTTCCTCTTTGAAGCAGTCGCTGTATGTTTACAGGACTTTTGCTACTTACCTTTCAGTAAGTTATTTTGGGGTCTTTAATGTGAGGATTTTTTCCCTGTTGGAGGCCGCCCTAACCCCCCTGTCTACATACATACACACGATACGGACTCCTACTCATACTCTTGTCCTCCCCTGAGCTTCAGATGGCTTACCAGGTCCTTAATCTGTCCTGAGTGACATCACCCTCTCCCTTCACCCTCCACACACTCCTCACAGGAGGGAGAGGGAGGGAAAGCGAGAGGTGGTGGCCACTGGTGGTTCAGGGAAGGTGAATTAGTCCTGCAGTGAAGCGCAGAAGACTTAGTAAGAGCACACAGGATCACTCGGACACACTCTGGCAGAGCCATGGCAGCGGGCACAGCAGAGATGGACACACACATGGAGGAGCTGTTGGACCAGGGTCTGGGGATGGAGGAGACGGCCCATGGCCTGCTGAGGAGGCCCTCGCTGAAGGAGATCTACCACAGTGACTCCCTGCTGGCACCCGACACTGACTTTATGACAGGTAGAGAGTTGAGCGAGTTTAGATGCTAAAGGGTCAGCCAAATGACAAAAATATATTTTCTTATTTACCTCTTGTGTCTGTTGCCATGCAGATGGTTTTGTTTGTATTTGCTTTCTGCGATTTATGCCTCCACCCCTATACTAGAGGTAGATGCAATTTCAGTTGATTATGTTTGTGGTGCTCAAAGCATTGGGAAAAAACATGTTTTAAAAGTTAGATTCTCAGAGATGTTTATCTTAAAACCTGTGCAAAGAAAACCCAAACTTAACTGCTTGATACTATTAAGGGGAAGGGGAAAAACTACCCTTTAAAGTGTTCTGTCTGAATGAAGTGCATTTACACAATTCTGTGTAATTAACAAAAAAAGGACACATACACTTCCTGCAATTTATCACAGACTAGGTGAGTTTAAGTGTATGGTTTACACAGGGTTGTTCCTATCACTTCTAATGCGTCAACAGAAAAGAAGAAAAAAACCCCAATGAAGTTGTACAATACAAACCTGTTCAATGCTTTATTTGAACAAGCAAGATAAACGCAAACACTAGTCCAACTAGTACCCATCCAAAGTATCACATGCCACACAGTCAAATTGTTGGTGTTATGGAATGTGGCTCGGCTAAGGAGATTTAGGGAAATGCCCTGTTCCCTCAGGGATATTAGTATCAGTGGACTAATGTGAAGGATTGCTTGTGTGTATGTGGCCTTGTAAATGTCAGCATGCAGGGTGCTGATATGTGCAGACAGATGTTGTTCCTTCATTCAAGAAACACCATCTGGGAGCTGAGATTTAAACACTTCACTGCTTCTCTATGCCACAGTTATGCTTTGTTTGTTCTGCATTTTCATTTTGCTAAGATGTTGATAGGAATATAAATTTCAAAACTGCTGTCCTGGCTGTGTGTAAATGTGCGTTAGTTAGAGGCACAGAGGTAGACTTAAGGCATGTGTTTGTATGTGTATTTACATTTGCATAAAAGGGATCCAGCGCGCCTGCCTGTTCACTGTATAGCTGAGTTAGTGCAGAGATTGAGCTTTGGGCTGCTAATTCCCTTTTACAGCACTGGGATTATGTGCTATTCTAATCCCAATCCCATATGGGGTGTGTGGAGGTGGCACGAGGATGATGTCACGGCCAGGACAAGAGGAGAAACAGAAAATTACTGGCCAGAGTCACAGCTCTCCACAAGACACAGATTACTGCTGGCTGCATGCTTGAATGATTATATTGAAAGTCTTCGCCCACAGCAGATTATCACTGTCAGAGGTACATCTTCCCAAAAACTGAGAAAAAAAAAATCTATTTTAACAGTGGACGACATGCATTTTAGAGAAACTGTACAGGTTTTGAGGCTTGATAGACACATAGAAACTAAACTAAGCTGATGTTCACACATCTGTATCATTTGAATTGATTTAAAATTGGATAATATTTAACTATCAATTATATAATGGTAGATTAATAGTGGATTTTTCGGAGTGATAGAAGCTGGACTTTTCAATTATCCATTACTTTTAGCTATTTTGACTATTGAGCTCTTACTTATCACTAGCTATTTCGACTGCTTATCAATTACTGTTAGCAAACTATTTCTGACCTTTATCCATCACTTTAGCTAACTGTTTTAACTACTTATCCATCTATTTTAACCATATAGCCATTACTTTTAGCTAACTGTTTCAACTTTGTTTGCTAACTAGTTTTTATGCAGCCTTTATTAACACATGGTGTTCAGGAGTTCTGTAGCTGATTCTATACATATATTTTTTAATCAGATCAAAATGCACTACTGTAAATCTTTATATGTACCATCTTAACTGCGGAAGTATCTTCTGAGGTACACTAGTTTGGAATCATTGGTTTAGATCAATTAAAAAAATACACAGATGGACACAGATTGTGCAACTGATCCTCTTTGCTCATAATCAATTTGATCTGAAAACTGCTGGGAAATAATGCTTCATTGCATAACTGCATTTCATGGTTGATTCCTGTGTTTGTTTTAAGCCTTGGCGTTCACTCTGCAACTACAGCAAAGCATGCATAGTTGTTTTTTTTTCATTTTATTTTGCCTCTTCCTCATCCTCCCTATTACTCAGAGTAGCCTGCACTGTATCCTCTGTAAATCTGTGGATGTACAAGATGTTTACTGCTGCACAACACAACAACAGGCCACATTTCAGGTTTATTTCTGCTGTTTCCTCTCTGTGTCTCCATCTCTCACAGTGACATGGGGCTTACGTGTGGGGGCGGGGTCAAAGAGGCTCAGTCTGAGGGATTATCATTGTACTCTGCACACCCACACACACACATGCAAGTACACAAACACACACGTGTACAGACAATTTAGGCTGAACTGGACGACTACTAGGTTTTTAAGTATTATCAACCCCACCCCCACCCTTGTAGAAGCACACACCCTGAGCAAAAGGGCTTTAAGTGCAGTCATACATATCACGGCATCCCAGAATGTGTCAGGCGACCACCAAGGAAACGTGGGAGGATCAAAACATCAGTAACCTCATCTCCTGCTGCAGATCCTATAACACTACTTGGAAGCTGTAAACAGAGGTGGACAAACCAACAGACAGGCTGCTCTGTAAAGGTGTGTGTGTGTGGGAGATGAAATCTTAGTGGACCCCAGCCAGTGGACCAAATCAGATGGAGGGAGAGTCGGCCTGTCTATCTGGAGCCAGAGGAGGAAAGAGGAGCGAGAGAGTGTGCTCGCGAGAGGAGAGGAAGAGGAGGAAGACTTCTGGTGTTGTGGAGGAGGGCCCGTTCGGCCAGCAGAGGCACCCTGGCTGCTCATCAGTGTCCAGTGTCTCCCACGGTATCCACGTCTGAACTTTTGTAGCTGTGTTAGACTGATGATTGCCAGCAGTAAAATAAAAAAAAACTCAAGTAGATATCAGCAGAAAGAGAAATTATAGCATGTTAATGACAGTTGAAAGTGTTTTGGGTGTGTGCTCAGCAACCATTGTTTACATGCTGCTGTGTGATGACGGTGTGGTTGATCTGCTGTGTCCAGCTGTGCCGTGACCTCATTAGCTTGATTTCTGCTATATAGGCACAACCAGGGGATGATAAATAGTTTTTTTTCCCCTTTCCCTGACTATATTTACATCCTGATGGAAAAACAGATAAGCTTTAAAAAAAATTTTTGGTAGAATTTCATTTCAAGTTTTTAGCTGAAATTTGAAATTTGGATGTGGAGGTCTTTTTGTTGTTTTATTTCTTCACCAGTCCTTCTCCTACATTTGTAAGCTGACAGTTGAATAGCACTTTCTTACTTTGTGACTGGAGGATTGCTGTCTTTCATACTCAAGATTTTCTCTGAATAGTCGTATGGATTTCAGTATTAGTCACTTGCATATTCATTTCTGTCTTGGCATCCTCAGTTGGTTAACAAGGTCTTTCTGACTGTTGCTCTGTGCATTTGCTCTTTCTTTTGCTCTGTGAAATCTGGATATTTTAAACATATTTAGACATGGTTTAGAGGCTAACAAATGTTCAGTGGACTGCCTCAGATTCCTCTGCTTATTTTAATGGACCAGCACTATTGCTAAGCATGTTATCAGTTATGTAATGCTATCTATCTATCTATCTATCTATCTATCCTGTTTTTCATCATCCCTTCAGATGACCGCAGCTCGGCAGCCAGTGGGCTGGATGTGGCCGACCGTCTGACCTACCTGGAGCAGAGGATGCAGATGCAGGAAGATGAAATCCAGTTGTTGAAGATGGCTCTAGCCGACGTCCTCAAGAGGCTCAACATCTCTGAGGAGCACCAAGCGGCTACTACCACTGCTGCTGGCAGGAGAACATCGGGCGCTAAAGGTGAGCAAAGATCTGTGTGGATTATTTCCATTACCCACATGTCAATTTGAGGATTTAAGGAAGCTTGTCACCATGTCGACCCTCTGCTGTACAGTGGGGAAGGCATTGATTTCTTTTATGGCTTGTAAATGCCAAAGGTGGGATCAAGTCATTGTTTTGCAAGTCTCAAGTCTTAGCACTCAAGTCCCAAGTCAAGCCCCAAAATGAGTCTTAATCTTAGAGTTTTGAGTCCTAAACAGGTCAAAATGTGCTCTTTACCAAACCTAATACCATTTCATATTTTTAACCAGAGTTAAAAGTTCAAACAACTTTATTGAATAAAGCGTTAACCTGCACAGAAAAAAGGCAGAGGTGCAGTTTCACACAAAAAATATTATTTTATGAATTATCGTAATTGAAGTATTGATGCACTGCACACAGGTTTTTATTATCACAATTTATATTAGGGCTTTGGTAGAGTATCAAGTCAGATCGAATCAAAAGACTCAAGTCCAAGTGAAATCACGAGTCATTGGTGTTAAAGTCAAGTTGAGTTGCAAGTCTTTTTTGATTTTGTCAAGTCGAGTCATCATATCATAAGTCTAAAGTCATCATATTTGTGCCTTTGAGTCTGACTCGAGTCTGAGTCATGTGACTCGAGTCCACACCTCTGGTGAATGCTGTGCTTTACTAAATAATTAATTAAACCGTTGTGGCTCAAGTGCAACAATGGGAGTCTGACTGAGAGCAATATTATTGGGCAATATTGTTTTTATAAGTGATCATTTTCATTGTATGCTGACTAACATGGATGAGACATTCATTATACACAAGGTGGAAAAAGAAGAAGAAGAATAGAAGACAAAAAAAAGTGACAAAGAAAAAAAAACTTACCAATTAAGCTGATTGATTGGTATTGGTTTCCGTCCTAATGATTTTATATATGTTGTGTATACAGTAGTTTATATAAAAAGATTAATGGTGTCTATCAAGTTTCTGAATCTACTCAAATGCAAGTATTCAGAACCTGAAGACCTGGAAAAAGCATCTAGAAAATTAGTTAAGGAAACATGTCCTAATATTTCATGGGTACAAACAAAGAAACATGTGCAGACAATCCAGTTCCATGTGTTTCATTTTCACCAGAGCAGTCACAACAATCACCACAAACACAGTCCAAAAGTTTATCCTTTTATCCACCATACACAAACACACATCCATCATACTTATGCCTTTGTCTGTGTCTCTAACAGCCAGGCCAGTGTCTCTAGCTCTGCCCTCCAGACCGCCCATGGTGACCTCCAGTGCTGCCTCCCTGAAGAAGAGCTCCACGCTGCCCTCCAGCTCCACAGCCAGGAACTACAGCCCAACACCGCCCCGCAGGTAAAAGCACTGCTGCTCAGGCTGCAACAATTTTACAGTTTGTCTCATGTCAGTAAAACAAAAAGGTTCAGATTTGTTGATTGATTTCTAGATGTAAAAGAAAAATCATTCCTGTCATCTCTGACAGCACTCTTCATGCAACGCACCCAGGGCAATGAGATCTCAAGCTTCATTTCTCATTATCTAATGTGCCAAAGCAATCAGCAGACACCCTCCATTATCCAGGAAACACTGCACACGGACTCTCAATAATTATTCCAAAGCTCGCCTTTATTTCAAAGCAATAAAGCAGCAAAACCATTCTCTGCAGATATATCTTCCTCTCAAGTACCTTTCAAATGATACTGCCATTAGATAGCATTAGTCAGAGAACTGGATAGGTTCCCTCTGTGGTATTTTGCTACTTCTATATCTGGGGTATGCTGATATAATTGCACAGAGAGAGGTAAATCCTCATTCACTTAAGGCTGTCTGTTAGGACGAAGTGAGACGCATCATCATGATTATCACTGTCATCATTACCAGCAGTGGTTAATTTCCTTCCACTCTCATCTTTCACCTTTTCTCTCAACCCACTGAGCACTTCAGTGGGTCCATCATTACAGTTACAAGTTTGTAGCCCAGCGTCATTCAAAACCACAGCAGAAATATTCCAGAAATATGTCAGGCTGAATTCCAATCAAATGTGTTTAAATTGTTGCAGCTCAAATCATCTTAGACATTACAGTAATGTTTCATTCAGAATCTTTGTGATACTTTGTGGAACTTAGTGGAATCCTTTTTTATCTTACATTATTCATGTCAGTCATTTCATTTCCATTTGGGTAAACAATGTGGCTCATGAGCCTGAGTTACAGCAATTTGGAGGACACATTTTGTCGGTTGCAGCCCCAAGTTTGTGGTTGAGAATGTTAAGCTGGATGCATTTTTTCAATAAAAGCCTAAAAACATGACCTAACAGTCCTTGTTTTCCCCCCCATTCCAGTGGTGTGAAGAGCCCGCCAGATAGTGTGAAGGACAGTCCATGTAAGACCACTAAAACACGACCCACCTCTGCAGCCTCCACCTGTAAGAAACCTCCAGAAGGGTAAGAAGCTGTTCTTGCATTTCTAAACCTCACACTGCATTACACATTCCACGTACACATTTTGCAGGCCAAAGCATATGCATTTTTCCATTGATTTTGGGGTGACCCACTTATACCTGGCCAATCAAGTCGGAATCAAATCTCTCAATTTAAATCAAGGTTATTTTCAACCTCGACATCCTGTTTTATGTAAAAACACCTCAAACCACAGAGGAACATTACATTCTCAGAGCCAGTTGTATAGATGTTTAACCGTTTAGTCAACCTTAAATTGACATGACAGGCAGTGAAGCCCTATCGCAATCAGATGTGTTCGTTCTCATCTCTTACTCTCCTTGTCGTGTCCTCTTCGGTATCTCTATCAAATTCTCTCTGTGTCTCATTATAACAGCAACAAGTCCAAGGAGGCTGCAGTAAGTGCAGGTAAGTGAGCACTCTCCCTGCTTCCCTGCAGCTGTTTTATTCCAGGCTGTAGCTGGTATATTTCACACTCATAACAAGAATGTCAAACAGCTGCTCACTAAGCTTCCATAAAGTATAAAGTGATTTAGCAAAAGACATGACAGTGGTAGTGTTTGTTACATGTACTATAAACAACAAAAACCTCTGTTTGTGTTTGTGTCCCTAATTTTGGTGCAGGGACGAGGCGTGTGACACACTGCAAAGGTATGATTCACCCCTAACAAAATCTTATTAACATTGAATTATTAACTCTTGTTCTGCTTACATTTACACTATCTTAAAAAGTTGAGAGCACTGTGTTTGAGTTGTTATTTTATCCTTCATTTTTTTTCACATCTCACCATGACTTGTATGCCTTCCCTCACCCCTGCCTCCCCTATTTTTGTCTTTTATTTTACCTTCTTTACATATCCGCTCTATCTGACCTCCAACTTCCATTCCAACCCCTCCTGACCAACCTCCCCTCTGTCTATTCACTCACCCTCCTCACCTCATTTCACCACTTCACTTAGTGACTATGCAGATCTATCTGAGCCCCCACAAAAGAAAGACTGGATCTTCTGAGACCGCCAAGTCTGCAGCTGCAGTGCCTGCCAACAGCGGGCCCACGGCCACATCCAGCAACCCTCAGACGAAGGAGGGCAGCAGGCCACATGGGAGGAAAACAACCCCATCCTTCACCTTAAATCTGCAGAAAACCACAACCAGCCAGAAGACAGTGCAGGACACATCCAGCTACAAGAGCCCCACCAAATCTCCCAGCCAGTACTTTCAGATTTGTTACTGAGCCAAGCGGATAGAGACAGATTTACTACAAATGTGTCCTTTACATCGAGTTAACTAAATCCAAATTAATTATTAAAAGCCACAATCTACTGCTTGAACAGATGCTAAAAGACTGTCTTCCAATGTTGAAAAATCAAGAAACTGATTGATGAGTGCGCTTCTTAAATTGCAGCGATGACATGATTTTCCTCTGAAGGTCATCCTGACTTTGTTATGTTGGTTATATTTGTAAGGAAGCCCTGAGAGTCAAGTAAAAAATATCACTATGGTGATCCATTCAAGTCTAATCTAAATAGTTTCTACTGTGTTTAGGACTTTAAAACAGGTAAAAGAAAAGGTTTTGCCGGGATAATCTTTCTAAGAATTTGTTTACATTGTTTGTTGTTGATTGGTTGTCTTTTGTTGTAATACTCATTTTTGCCACAAGATGCTGAAGTGCACCATTTTAAATTAACGCAGATTAAAATACATTTATAGCCAAAAGAAAGACATGACAGTAATGTTGCATAACTTGCTAACACACAAATGCTTTTATTCCTATTTAGAACAGGGGGTAGTGGTGCACTTCAGCCTCTTGTGGACTAAAGAAAAAAAGTAATTATGTACCAACTTTTTGAAAAATTATCTTGGAAAAACTTTCCCCCCACCTGTTTTGCAGATTTAAAAAAAATTAAGGAACTTCTACAAATAATCCTGACAAGCTCTTTTTGTTCTTAAGTCATATGTCATAAACACGGGAGAGAAAACAGTTTAGATCAGAATTAGAAAATGGATCCCCAGATTTTTGTTGCCTCTTAAGGCTTCCATATGTTCAACATGAGCACTTACAACATTTCTCTTAATATGTTTGAGTAATTGAAATTGTCAACACAGTATTTTGTGGGATGGTTATTTATTTCAAGGATAGAATGAACGCTTTAATGCATTTTTAGCTTTCTTAGAGACCACAGTGTAGTCATAAATAATTTTTTCAAATGCTAGGACCTGCGTATTGTTTCACTGAATGGCTGTGCTAACTGTAAATGTTCTCTCCGTCATGCTATATGTGAAGTTTGTAAGTAAGGCAATGACTTTATGATGGAGGAGGGTCAGAGTCTGTCTCATGCCTGTGTGCTGTGATGTTTCTAGCGTTTTAGTTCCTCTTTAAGCATAGCTGGTATATAGTGTGTACCAGAATCAGTCAAAAAGGCTCCTTCTAGTTCAGGACAAACAATAAAAATCATGACCTTTAATGACTTTTCCTTATGTTATCTGGTGTTTAGTGCGTGAGTGTGTACACGGTGAAAATCATGTGCCATCACCTTTTCAGTTGGATAAACAAGAGCAGGTTTCCACTCCCATGGTGAGAAAAACTCCACATAATGGACATTTTGGGATCTGATTCACTCCAATAAAGCTCGAGTCAAAAGCTGACTATGTTGAGGTGCATCCATCACTGTGACCTTTCAATAACCTGTGTGAGGTACGATGAAGTGAGTATGCCCCATGTGCCCACAGCCTCAGCGCCCTCCTGCGGAGATTAAGGCCATTGACCCAAACAGGGATAAGAGTGACTGGTCACATCATCATGTGGGGATGAAAGTTGCACCGGTAAATCCAGATCAACTACATAAAATCGAAGTTACTTTACAACACAGTGATGGAATTTGTCATGATCGCTAAACCGAAGTGAGGCCGGTCTGACCTGAGAGTGGATCCTCACTGCTGTGTGAATCGCAGCGGAAACTCCATCACTATTTGGAAATTAGGAGGACCTCTGCTGGTGAGAAGGCAAGACTGCAACATATTTTTATTTTAATGCTTGAGCTAGCGCCAGTATAATCATAAAACTGTGCAATGGGATATTTGACAGCTGTTTTCATAATCCAAAACATATATTTAAATACATTCAATTATTGTTAAATAATTATTAAATCTCTTGCTGGCAGAGGCTCTGTCCTGTGTCAACTTTTAACAAAACAGATGCTAAGCAAACGTATGTGCAAGAAAAACACATGACATTTATGTGAAATTGACTGCAATCTTACGCTGCAGTTTTAAATGTGAAATGCATTTTCTAGCACATATCACATAAGCAATACCTGGATACAAATACACTAAACTTACTTCTTGAACAACCGCCATCTTCATAGTACTTACTTCTCACTTCGTCTCTTGCAAATACCAATGAAGAGTTCCCAAAACCTGAAAGATTAACAGAGAGGATTATCTAATGGAAAAATATTATTTTAAAGTGGCGAAATAATGAAATAAACAATCATGAAATAAAATTCACATTGGTCTGGGATCCTGATCTGTTAAAGTTCTTTCTCGAGCTCACTTTCTTTTTTCTCGAACTCACAAACTGATAAAATGATAGATGTAACTGCATCATATAAAACATTCAACTCTAATGCAAACCTCAGATGGACTTAGGACTTAGACTTAGACTGAGTAAGGAACCCATACTTGCCCGACAGCCAAGGACAGCACAGCCTCAACTCAGGTGGAGATTTACTGGGGGCCATCTGTCCTCAATATGAGGAAACAGCAGCTGGCTATTGCACATGGAGACAGATGCTGGTCAATCCTGGCTGCTAACAGGTGTGTGTGTGTGTGTGTGTGTGCGCGCCACATACACCCTACCCGTATATATACATTGTCACATCCTGTCTATTACCACATGAAATACTGTATAATTCTGTATCAATATGTAGCAAAGCTGAAATTAGCAGTTGGAGAGTTAAGAAGGGGATATCACAGAAGAAAAGAAAACACAAATTTCAAGTGGTTAATCTGAAATGCCATAAATGTTTGATTTGAGTAAAGGATTCGGACATAAATCACACACACACACACACACACACACACACACACACACACACACACACACACACACACACACACACACGCACACACACACACACACACACACACACACCACAAAATAGTATAATACTATTTCTGCAGGGTCTTAAAAGCTTAAAGTATTTGTGGTAATCGTGTTTTTTTTATTATATCCAATCATGTCTCTAATATCTCTGTGAAACTGTTAATTGTTTTACTGTGGGAGAAAATGATTCTGATTATTTTAGAACAGTATGTATGTTATTTTTCTCTGAATATATATAAAAAAGTTACATTTTTCAAAATTTTGACAGAACTTATTCTCATAGAAGACGGTGTGCGTTTGTTTTTCATACCGTCCTGCACGGCAGCTGCATCACCAGACCGAGGGCGCTACCGAGCAGCAAAACCACCAAGACGTGAATATTTCAGCAGCCTCTCACCGTCTCCCTCTCTCTCCCCATCCAGCCTCCCAGCGGTTGAAGGGAGGAAAAGATGGCATCCCAGAAGCCGCTGTCAGCCACTCCGCCCGGCTTCTCGTCCTGCGGACAGCGGCTTGTTACCATCTGAAATGGCTTCGACCGAACCACCAGCCGCCTGACAAGACACCGGAGAACAATTATTCATTTCCTAAAGACAGACCCGAAAACTGTGGGCACCCGTGTAGCATTTTCCACACCCTGTCGCCTTTTCCACCCTCAACATCTGCACACCCAGCCGGCTGCAGGCTTCGCTGGCAGCATTGCAGTTTTTATTAAAACTGCTGCTGCTGGATCTGGATTTTTTTTATTACTAGAACTCAACTCAAGGACAAATCAGACAGAAAACATTATTCATCTCATTCAAACGGGCAGGAGAGGAAGATGAGGTAAGCAGATGCATGCATTGCTCTTTTGCTGCACAATAAAGCGCAGACTGCTGTGATTCACTGCGCATTATTATGGGATATTAAAGGATATAGCGAGATCAGCCAAAACATTGTATTAACGGGCTTATTGTTCGTTTCATTGGCACAGTTTTATTCAGAGGCCTGTGATGTGCATGTCACCGCAGCACAAAGGTGTATCAGAGGACCACGCGCTTATATTGACCGGCAGGTCACTTGTTGGCCGACAGATTATGGACCTTTAAGAGGAGCGGCTGCTTTGAGAGCAGATTTCCACAGCCATAAATACAGAGCAACGGGGCTTTGATGAAACCAGCTAACATCTCTGACTCCAGTTTGCTCTGTGATGTGTCACATGGAGGTTGTCTGCAGAGAAAAAGAGGTGTTGTCATGGAAACCAGACTACACGTGCAGAATTGTTATAAGCGTTATGATACTTATTTGTAACTCATAGCTGATTGCGGGATTTACAAAGCAATCACATGTGCTTCATTTTTGTAGGCACACCTATGTATGTGCACGCACATAGATGAAACCCACATGCGCATACACGCGCACACACCTTCCTACCGAAGAACCAATCAGACGAGAGCATTCATTACAGCATCCAACTGTCTCAGGGACACTGGTTTTACTGGCTGACAGTAAGAGCCTATGATGTGGAGTGTTACTTGCAGTACCCCACCAACAGCCAATCATCTGCAAGCCTGCGACTACACAGATGTGGGTGGGACACTCACCATGAACAGAGCTGACTGAGCTGACTCCAATTGTTGTTGGCATTGAAATCTGTGTGTGAGAATGTGTGTCCCAAGGTCAGAGTGGGATTTTGCCACCAGTGTGCTCTAAGTCAGTGTCTCTTTTAACAAGTTGACCCCTTCCCCCCAACATCCCACTGCTTTTCTCCGTGCTGCTGCTATCTCCACTGTCATTACAAACACACTCTAAAATGGCATGTTAGCTTGCTGGATTTAAGGTGGTAAATTAGACAAAAGACCAATGACCTGACCAAGTAGCCTACTGCAGCTCTCATCACAATGTTTATAGATCTTGCAGATCACATGACTTGTTCCACCCAGGACCACACATGAATACATTTATGTTACGTCTTACTTTATAGTAATTGTGCTGTATATAGTGTGGACTGTATACTCTCAATACTCTAATTCTCACAGTGTACTGTTTTTCTCATTTACTATGCGAGAAATAGAGAAACAGAAAATGGTAAAATACTTTTTTTTTCATTATTTTCTGTTTTACCGCCATCCACAATTTATACTTATAAAGCTAAGAGCAGATCCTCCACTTCCTTTGTGCTTTTCATTATGGGCAGATAGCGTACATCAACAGCACAAATCAAATGTTTTTAGTTAATGTTTTTACAGTGATGTTTATTCAGTACACTTTGTCACTGTCACTTTGCCACTTTCT